GCAGGGTTGATTTTCAAATCACTTTTGCCATTTCCATTTCAGGTATTGCACATCCTGCTGGGAGCTGAAGTGAAAAGCAAACAGTGTTGGCAAACAAGACACAGTATGTTGCTAGTGAGACCCATGTGGGAAGGGTCAAGGATATGAAGAACATCTCTTTCAAGGAAAAACCCATCCGAAGTTCATCTCAAGAAGGTAAAAAAAAAAGTTTTTTTTACCTTGGAGGATAATTAAAATTTTTTTGCATTCTGAAGCTTGGATCACACAATGGCATTCCTGCGTGTAAAATTATTATAATCATCAAGAGTACCAAAAAAGTTTAATATTTTCAGTTGCAAGATTGTTCCCTTAGATATTTTTTCCCAACAGGCTACATGCAATATTTGTCTAAGACTAGCCTATTAAGTCCCTCATAGAAGGCACTTTTCTAAGACAGGCAATCCAATATGAGAAACTTAAAACCAATCACCATCTTCTTTCCCATATTATTTCCTTTTTTATTGACAATGACATTTCAGTTTGTGCTCCCTTAGTCCCCACTTCATCTTCTGACAAAATGTTTGTTGGTACACATGGGCAGAACAGGAGAATCAAGGAAAAGGGTGCCAGGACAAAATTGATGAAATACCACCCCCTGCCTAAAAGTTTGGAAGGGAGGGGGAACATCCCCATACTCTGCCAATGCTGATCTAGCAGCCTTAATTCTTCCTGTTTTAGGAAAAACATATGCATAGATCCATTGATGAATGGATTGATTGGCTGAAGAGAGTGAGAGAAAAAAGTAGGACTCAAAATGGGAAGATAGTTCACGACTGGGGTGACAGAGAGAAGCAAGAGGGAATACTGCAAGAAAGATGAGCATGAAGACAGGGGTAGAGGAAGGGAGAGCAGAAGAGTGAGGAGATATGCATGCAGGAATGTACAATGGTTCAATGTCCTTGGCATGAAGTCAACTGCATGAGAGGGCTCCAAGGATAAGATATGGCAACTGCATTGTGCAACACAAATGCAGAAGTAGGCTAGGAACATAACATATTCATATAATTGTATGCAGTGGATGAACTACATCTACATCAGCTAATGCATATCTACATTGCTTTTCACCTGAGTCAGACCCACATGCATGGGACGTTCCTTAAGCATGACAGTGGAAGTCAAGTGAAAAATGTCTGATCCAAGTGAAAAACATTGAAAATACCATTCCTTAGCTCAAATCACTCATAATTTCCCTGGTACTATTGGCAGTTTATTCCAACTCTTGCAAGGAGAACCAGAGCCATGGTGACGTTAATGAAGTGATAGGTGCCTCAATCAGCCATAACACACCCTATCCCAACTCTCAGATTTTGAGAAAGTTCCTTTTTGGTGTTTAATGTTCAAAGTTCAAGTATGGGCGTCAAGGGGTATTTATGCCCATTATGGCGTCTAGTTTAAAGGTCGAGCTTAAAGGCCTAAATAAAAGCCTAATGTTATCCAATATATTTTTCTTTAAATTTTTTGGGAACATATCCACCTATTGCCTAATTCTTTACGCCTACCTCTCGCCTTTTCATCGTTGTAGGCTTACACATCCGACCCCTTCTAATGGTCACAGTACGGGCAGCCAGAACATCCACCTACAACAGCCACCTGACCCGTTCTAGGCATTCACTCCTCAACAAATTAGGGTCATTCCGCTGCCTGGGTATCACTAGGGGTTGACGCAACTCGAACTGGTTCCCTCTCTTTCTGCTGCTGTCAGAGTATTGAACATCCTTGACAAGCTCTAGTGTTTTTCACTTGAGTCGGACATTTTTTCACTTGACTTCGACGCTCATGCATGAGGAACGTCCCATGAATGTGTCTGAGTCAAGTGAAATGTTCTCTAACTCAAGTGAAAAACACATTATAAAATCCCTTCATTTTTTTAATTGCTCGGATGAGCCATCAAAATTAACCCCACCCTTCGTTAACGTTCTCTCGAACAAAGAGTTCGTAACGTTTCCAAACGTCTCTCTTAACCCTCAAAACCATTTTTTTTTTATGATTTTGAGTTTCATCTTCTACCCAACCAGATACGTTTTTTGTAAGTCCTGAGCATCATCGCTTCCCGAGCTTATAGACGCCAAGCCTCGAAACCGTCAGTCGTGAACGGCCTGAATCGGGCACGTGTTTATCGCGTGCACGCTTCTTCAGAGCGGCGGCCCACGTCCGATGACGTCATTCGTCAGTGTTGCCGGATGTTCGCGAGGCCGTCTCGGCGCCTCGCCCTCAAAAGGGCTTCGCCCCTCGCGAGACGCGCCGAGATGAGGAGGCAGCTGTGAGGAATCTCGCTCTTCGTTAAAGCGGGATACCAATTAAGTCGTAAAATAAAATAAAAAGTCAATGAAAAAGACGACTCGAAAAGGCAAAGCGAGAGGCTGTTGCGGGAGTTAAGTCACAACTTGGCGGGAAAAAAAAAAAGAGAAAAGAGAAAGGGGACGTCTCGCCTTCCGATCTTCGCTGACAAGCCACTTTTATCGCGCATCGACGAAGGCGAAAAGAAGTTGAGAGATGAGTTCGGTTTTCGTCGAATGATGCATCGTTATCTCTCCGAGATGCGTAATAGATGCTTTTTCATGGAGTTTTTTTTTTCGTTTCCATATCATTTCCGCTTCGTGGAAAGTCAGTTCCTTAAAGATTTCATCGCTGGTCATGCGCGGATTTCCAACTGCGAGCCTGATGAACGGCCAACCGGACATGGCCGACTTCAGCCAATTGCCATCTGCCATCTGCCAATTGCCATCTGCCAATTGTCATCTGGGCCAGCAATGACTTATGTACGGGGTTAACTAAATTCCACCGATGCAAGCATTTTTTCGCGTGGTACTTCTTTTACAATTCCTTGGTGGATGGATTTCGTTTCCCTCGCTTCATCATATTTCACTCGCTCGATGTGCTTCCCTGTTCGATGCTTTCGATTGGAAGGGGGGAAAAAAATGTCCGGCCAGAAAAAAAATGGTCGGATTTGAATCGTCGTCGCGTGTCTTCACGTAAATGCACAGGTTATCCGGCTCTTTAAGTTCGCGGCGCAGCCAAACCGAATCGCCAAAATGTTGCATCGGGATCCATTGAATCCAAATGAGAAATTACAGGGTTAAACAAGATTCTCTGCACCGAACGCTCTCATTTTGCGAGCTCAACTTCAAATAAACACAGCAGAAGAGATCCACGAGTTTCCTTCACGTTATAATTGCTTCGAAAATGTCTCTAAGTTGAGAAAAACTCAACATTGGAGAAAGACGAGGAAAACCCGAGCAATGGGAGAAGTTTTTTTCATAGTCAAGATCTCCCAACACATCCATTGGAAGACCTTCCTCCTCCCCTTCCCTCCCAACAAGCGGCCAGAACGAGGCAGATGAGCACCTGCCTGCCATCTGGTGGGAGCATGGAGAAAATCGCATTTCCCTCGCTTCAAACGCGTCTGAACCGCGTCGAGATCGCTCTATGCCATTGGAAGAGTCCTAGAACAGCGCATGAGCAAGGATATAGAAAAAGGAAATTTAGACCCTCTTTCCATCGTACTCCTCGATCGTGCCGTCACGGACGCGGTCACGTATTTTCGATGTCCTCGTGCAGACCGGGCCCGTTCTCACCGAGTACCTTTCCACCGCAAGTCTTTCGAGTGAGGTTTCAGCTGGCGGAGTGGAAGCCGACAGCCGTTCGCGACCGAATGCTTCCATTCGAAAAGAATAAAAAAGAACGCCATGCATAGCGTGGACCGAGGTTGCCAGGACGACCGCGCGACCCGAGTCGCCTTCGATCAGGGAGTGACTCCGGACCCGATTTCCAGGAAGGGCCCGAGTACTCATCGAGTGCTTACTCGCACACTCCATGCAAGAGCCATGCCTCCAAGTCTTCGGCGGTCAGAGACGGAAGTGACGTTCGACTGAATGCACCTTTCTCACTCGCTGCTCGGGGCGGTCTGGACGAAATAGGTATGCACTGCCCGTATTAATAGAGTTAGAGGTTTCAATGATTTGTTTCATCTTGCACTAATTTCGTTGCATGGCCCGTTTGAGCACCTAGAAACGTTTTGACTGCACGTTAACGATGAGGGAGATGAAATAGTGCGGAACCATTTTTCAGAGGCTTTCTTCATTCTTCAGCTACCCCCTCTTCCATTTTCGTCTCTCTCCACGAGACTCGGCTAAATGTTAGACCAAGGTTTACCCGAAAACTGTATTCAAGTCGGGCAAAAGCTATCCTTTTTACACTCAAAAAGAATCTCAACTCTCGACTTAAGGCGTCAATAAGGAATATAAGCGTCCATCTCAGGGTTTTCGAGACAACATGCTGAGAACGTGTATCGCCACGACTAACAGGAGTTTTTTGAACCAAAATGGAGCATTAAAGTGAAAGAGTCATGCCAGGAAATGAATGATGAATAATAATAGCGGTAGCACCTATTCCACGTCTTGAACTCTTCCCTTCACAAAATTCAACCTCCTCTTATTTCACCATAACGATCATCACCGCTAGTCACACACCTCAACCCACGAATCCCAAACAAAAATGTATAATTATTTAATAAGAAGAAGGCCAAGGCACAAAAGAGGAACATTCATGAATCAAACACGATAACCAACAAGGGGGGGGACTGGAGCCCACACATCGAGGCTCCTTGACTCCTTATTTCTTTTTTAACACGAAATGGTGTATTGACAACATTAGGAAGGGCGCGTAACGTTCTCGAATTCCATATCTTTTCTTGGCGATGCTTTCTCTTCCGGAAATACCATAGGACGTGCTGCTATTGAGAAAAATAATCCCAGGATGAATTTTCGAATTCAATATATTTCAAGTCTTCAAGGAGTGTCAAGTGTTCATTTTCTTCTCCGTCAAACCCAAGCTAGGTGTATTCTCGCCTTAATCTTGGAGTCCTCACATGAAATACCGCGCAATTGTTCTTAGAATTTTTACATCCCCATTCAGAGGAGAAATTAGGGGAATAGGAATATAAGTCGGTATTCCCAAAAACTATGCAGTGCATCCAGCGTGTATTTTAATTTCAAAGGTTCCCAAAGATCATGGAAATGACAATCGGAGAGGGCGACGGGAAGAGGGGCAAAACGGAAGAGGGATACCGTTTCCTTTCCAAGGGTCTCGCCCAGACCTCGAGAGAGCAGGATGTCGCTCTCTGTGATGTCGTCATCGACGTCCAAGACGAGTCCTTCCATGGAAGCCGCTTCGTGCTCGCATCCGTATCCCCAGTCTTGAAGCGCATGTTCCTCGCACAAATGAAGGAGTCCCAAAATCGGATCGTCGAGGTGAAAGGCGTCTCCAAGAAAGGATTCCAGGTGATCTGGGATTTCATCTATGAGGACAAATACGGAACGGAGGAGGAAGACGTCGCCCTGGCCGTCCTCAAGGATTCACACTTTCTTCAGATCGACTTCCTCTATCACGAATACGCAGAGAAATTGAAGGGGATGCTGAGACTCGAGAACGTCTTCAACATATTCTCCATCGCCGAGCAATTCGAGCTTGAAACATTGAGAAAGGGAGCATTGGACTTCATCTCAGATCACTTGCAACAAGTGATCAACACACAAGAATTTCTTTCACTGGAAACAGAGACTGTGAAGATGCTCCTGAGCAGAGATGATCTGGGAATGATAAGACTCGAAAATGTATTTAACTTCTTCTCTATCGCAGAAGAACTTGAGCTGGAAACTTTGC